TATTGGGTCATGGTCATATAATTTTATGGGAGATTGAAGGAAATAGGCCGCAGGACAAAAAAAATAAATAGGTTAAGTTCTATAATTAGTTAGTAAATAGGTCTAATAGGATTTACATTAAATTAACATTCTTAAAATAAATTAGCATTCTTAAAATCAATGTAAAGCTAGAATTTACGAATAAACACAATATGTATTCTAATAGTAAATTCTTAATTTACTCTGTAAGGAAGAGAAATTGTATTTTGATGGTAAATCCTATAATTCTAGGATTTACATGAAGAAATACAATTTGTATTCTAATGGTAAATCCTGAATTTATTTCTTTATTTGTACATCTATTTATATCTTTTTCATAAGATTTCAGTTTTTCTTTCGGTGATGATGATGTATTTTTTTTACTGTTGTTGTGTATCAATTATTTCTCAATACTGACTTAGTAATTGTTGTTGTTGCTGCTGGGCTCATTTAGGATTTTGTTTTCTTCCATTCGCTGATGTTCCAGTTTATTGACATTGTGTACAAATCCTTTAATAATTTAGTTTGCAGCTAAAAACTTTGCTAAGTTATGTTTGAGTTATTATTGATATATCTTAATAGCGACGAAAAAAAAATACATGAGTCAACTTTTCACATACAATTATTGTTTTCGCAACAACTTGGTTTTTTTTTTTTTTTTTTTTTTGTGGTCCTATTCTTGATTGGTGATTGTAGTGTATTTTTCTGTAATTCCTATCATGTATGAAATGTCTATTATAAGTGATTTTCTTCATCTCTATATATGTGTCATGCTTTGTTAAGTGATTGAACAGTTTCAAATTTTGATTTGAATCTGATTTGTATACTGACTTTTGATTTTTTTTTAAATTACAAAACTGATTACTATCTAACTGATTTGTATTTTGGGTTTTTTAATTTTATTTATTCACTTACTATCTAACTATTTTGTCTATACAATTTTTTGATGAGAATTATTTAATTGAAGAATACGCAGATCCTCTTCTCAGTATGCATTAGTAAAAATTGTGTATCCAATTTTTTTTTTCCTATATAGCAAATTTAATGTAATTAAAAATTTATGTTCATATTTTTGTGATTTGATTGTATTTTGTATTCATTAAATTAGTAGGAATTTCATTTTATTTCTTCTTCCAACTTTCTATCCTCCAATTTATTACCCGTAGGCCTTTCTTCCCCTAATTCTATTAATTAAATATCCGTGCAACCAATCCACTAGTTTTGAACTAAGATTAGTACTACAACGGTAATAAGTAAGAAAGCAACATTCTGCTATTTGACGAAAAGTTATAAAGGATCATTTTGACACTATCTTATATTTCTTTTTGGCTTATAGTGCAAATTTTTTTCCCCCCTCTTATCTTCTCCCTTTTCCACAACTTCCCATGTGCATATATAGGGTACGTTTGGAATTCGTTCTAAAATGATTTTATTTTTTGTATGAAAATGGAAATGAAAACATTTTCAATCTCAGATAGAAATAATTTTTGAAAATGCGTTTGGTAGTTTTATCAAGAGATTATATTCAGTATAAAAAAATCAATTAATATCTCTCTCTGCTCGAGAGAAGAGAAAACATAAACAAAAAATGAAAAACGACTAAAAGTCGTTTTTCATTTCTCTCATTTTACACTAAACTAAAAAATCATTTTCATTTTCATGTTTTATCTTTAATTGTGTCAAACGCCGCTTCTCTCCCGTTTTTATTTTTTCTTTCTCAAAAAACGTGAAAAACAAAAATAAAAACAACTCCAAACACAGCCTTTATATTGATTTATCAACCAGACTTGTTCGCTCCTCCTTTTATTTTTGGTTAATATCACGTGATCCGCAGCATCCGCTCCTTGAAAGCAGAGTAGCTAGTTTACCATCTTCTCTCACTTGACTTTCAAGGAGCGGATGCTGCAGATCACGCGATATTAACAAAAAAAAAGAGAGAGAGAAAAGAGGAGGAGCCGACAAGTCTAGTGGGTAAATCAATGTGATTAGAATCATTTTTTATTTACGTGTATTTTTTGTGAGAGAAAACACTGTAGCGAACCATGAACGATGATTCAAATCATGGTTTGAATCCTCCAACCAAACATCCCCTTATATATGCACATGGGACGTTGTGGGAAAGGGAGAAGGTAGGAATGGAAAAAAAAAGTGCACTATAATCCAAAAAGAAATTTTAAAGATAATGTCAAAATGATCCTTGGAGTCTTCCTTTATTTGCCGTTATATAGTTTTTTATTTGGATGTGTCTTTTTTTACGAGCATATAGATCTATTGTCGATCTTGTCCATCAAGTATTTATATAATTTGCATTCATTGGAGTCTTCTTTTATCATAATAAATTGGGTCACGGTCATATATTTTTTTTATTTGAACAAATCATTCTTAAATGAGCATAAATTGGGTCATGGTCATATATATATTTTTTATTTGGATAAGTCTTTTTTTATGAGCATATATTGGGTCTTGGTCATATAATTTTATGGGAGATTGAAGGAAATAGATATGACTAAAAGGATAATAAAAACAAATAGGTTAAGATCTATAATTAGTTAATAAATAGGTCTAATAGGATTTACACTAAATTAACATTCTTAAAATGTCCCTGTAAATATAGGATTTACGAATAAACACAATATGTGTTCTGATGATAAATCCTTAATTTACTGTGTAAGGAAGAGAAATTATATTCTGATGGTAAATCCTACACTGTAATTTTAGGATTTGAACAAAGAAACACAATTTGTGTTCTGATGGTAAATCTTTGATTTAGAGCGTAAAACATGAATTTACCTTGAGAATACATATTCTATTCTGATGGTAAATCTAGGATTTACAGCATAAAAATGGATTTACCATAAGAATAGTCTAGGTAAATCCAAGACTTATGGTGTAAAACATGAATGTAGAAAGAGAGAGAGAGAAGAGGACGCTTGTAATATACTTTTCCTAATATGTCCTCGCAAGATAGAGCTCTGATAGGACATCTAATCTTGTAAGTTTTTCTTTTTCCTTTTTTTTTTTTTTGGTTTTTCCAACAAAATAAAGACATTGAAATAGTTGCGTAGGAATGACAATCATTGAGAGTACAAAGATGCAGGATGGAGACAACAATCATCGTGGAAGAGATAAAGCTTGGGTGCAAAGATGGCAGCCGTCAAGAGAGAGAAGAGGACGCAAGGGCGTTGGGACGTCAATCGTTAAGAAGAGAGAAGAGGGCGCTAGGGCATTGCTGGAGGCGCATTGCCTGGAGATTGGAGACGTATTGCCTGGGGTTTGGAGGCGCATTGTCTGGATTTGGAGGCTCTTCGTATGAGATAAAAATGTTAATCATGGAGGATTAGAGACTCAGAGTATGAAACTCCAATACTATAATAATAATTAAATAAGAAAATAAAACGAAGAAGAGAAAATGGAGAGATTTAAAGGTGTTCGGCAATATGCTTGACTAGTAAGGAGCACTATGTTGGGAGCTCCACATAAATAGACATTATACGGTACATAATCGAGTAAGTTACCGAAATTAAAATCAAGATGCTTCCTAATACAAAAATAAATACTAATAAAGAAAAAATTATAAATAAAAGATAATTTCCCTAATATTATATATATATATATATAGATTAATCTCAGTGATACTACCTGAATTTTGAGATCATTCTCACTTTATCACTTAAATTTAAAAACTCTCACTTTATCACTTGAATTTCCTTCACCAAATCCTTTGACATCTATTTCGACCGTTTCAACGCCTGTGTGTTTAGAGAGTTGTTAGCTTATTGTTATAATCACTGTTTTCAAAATGCTAAATATATGATCAACAATGATAAATTGATTATCAATATTTGATTATTACAGAATTCTGTCTATATATATTCTTAAATATACGTGAACATTTAAATAAGTTAAATGATTGACGATGCACAAATAGGAGGTTAACTATTCAAGTTAATTACTCAAAAAAAAAAAAAAAAAAAAAAAAAAAAAAACAAATGAAGGAATATTAATAGGCCTCTGTGCTAACGAAAAATCCAAGAACAAGCCACGAAATTAAGCTCCCAAGTCAACACGAAAAATTATCATATTGAATGAAGAGTAATTAAATAAAATAATTAAAAAAAGGAAGCATTGTTGGAGAAAATTAATATTATATATAGTTATAAACTCGATCAACTTCTCTCTGATCGTCCTTCTTTATTTGCTGCCATTAGATAGTTATCAAAATTTAGGTCCTCAAAATCTTCTTCCCAGCAAAAATAACAACAACAACAACAACAACAACAATAATGAAACAAACGAATAAATAAATAAAATATTCAGACTGAATATTTCCCTATAAATTCAAAGATGGGTTATGGCTTCATTCATCCTAGTCTATCAAAGCTTAAAAGCAAATTAAGTCCTTTCACGTAGATCATCAATATTCTCATTCATGGCCAGCTCAACGGCGCCCAGATCGATTATGTGCCGCCGCCGGTAACCTCCCTCCGGGTAAGGCAGCCGGCACACAAGGTCAGCAGTGAGTACATCGCCAAGTACAACAAAGCAACAGAGATCATGCGAAATCTCCCCCCATCCGACCCCCGGAATTTCATGCAACAAGCAAACATCCACGCCCTCTACTGCGATGGCCCAGACGGTGACAAAGACGGCCTCGGCAAATATATTCAATTTCTAGTCCACAACAGTTGGCTCTTCTTTCCCTTCCACCGCTGGTACGTCTACTTTTACGAGAAAATATTGGGTAACCTCATAGGTGACCCGAACTTCGCCTTGCCCTTCTGGAACTGGGACCATCCGGATGGGATGCAAATACCGGACATGTATACCGACGAATCATCCGCGTTGTACGACCTAAACCGAAGCACCGCTCACCAGCCGCCCACTACCGTCGACCTCGACTATCATAACGGTAAAGCTCCTAAGCCCCGCGAGGAACAAGTGGACGATAATCTCTACGGCGTCATGTACAAGAATATGGTTTCTGGAGCGAAACTCCCGTTGCTTTTCTTCGGCTCCCCGTATCGTGAAGGAAGCACGACCACGCCCGGCAGCATCGAGAAGCACCCGCACAACTGTGTCCACATCTGGACCGGCCATGAAATAACGCCCCAAACGCCGCTGGGCGAGGACATGGGCGCCTTCTACTCTGCAGGTAGGGACGGAGCCACTTAATTAGCGCTAGCTTGAGAGTTCCATTAAATTATAGTACATATGACATTTTTTAAGAAAAAAAATGGTAAATAGTGTGTGTATATATATGTAAATAGTGCATATATATATATATTTTGAAAACATCATATAATACAATAAAGTAAAATATAAAATATCATTTTATAAACATCATATATATAAAATATAAAAACTGGTTCAAAACACCCCCTAAACTAATATCATTTCATAGATATCTTCTAAACTGTTGATTTTGTGTCAATTTATCTCTCAAACTTTTAAAATATCAAGCGACAAGATAACACAAAAGTAATAATTCTATAGCAAGTAACTAAAATCAATAGTTTAGGGATATTTATATAAGTATAAGTAGTGCCATATCCTTTTTTTTTTTTGTAAGTTTTATAAGCTTAGGGGACATTTTGAACTAAGGTCAAATATTTAAAGGGGTGAAACAAACCCTTTTCGAAATTCAATAAATGTCTTGAAATAAAGTACAAAGTTCAACGGATATTTATTTACATGCTAACACTTTTCAGAACTTCAATTTGGAGTCTCGAGCTCTTAACCTATCTCATCCATATCAAATGAATTAGCGTGCATAAAGATACATAAAGATTATGAGATTTGTAATGTATAATCTAGAATCTATAATCTATCTATAACTATAATAAAAAGCATAATGCATTTACTATTCATCTACATACAAAAGCACTAATTAAGGTTTGGTCAAGTTATTTAGTCTTTTTGTGGGTTTTTATTACTTTTCTAACTTTTACCTCTCGTTTTTTTTAAATCCTTTCTTTTACTTTTTCTTTTTTATTTTCATCCTCAAGCTTATTTATTTCTTCAATTTAGTCATTTTTGACTATTTTATATTTTTTTCCTTAAATTTTATTTTCTTTTTTGTTTTCGTCCTATCATCCTAAAACTCATTTATTTCTTCATTTTGTCTCTTTTTTATTTTTCAGGAGTTGAATTGTTGAAAATTGTTATATAATATATTAATAATGGAATCATTGTTAATAGGTTACTAAATAAATAATTAATAATTTATATATCTATTATATAATATATTAATTAGTAAATAGTTGATAATTAATAAATAAATAGTAACTAGCAAGATAGTTAATATTAAATTATAACTATTAATTGTGTAATATACTAATCAAATAATTATTGATAATTAGTAATTAATGAATACTTAAGGAATAATTATCAAAAATTGATCATGTAATATATTTCAAATAATAGGCTATTAATAAACATTAGTAACTAATTAACTAATTATTTAATCATGTAATTAAAAGTTCATTATTTACTTACTAAATAGAATACATATATTATTAATGTACTAATTATTTTTTATTAATACACTAATTAATTCCTTATAAACTAATAACTATGTGTAAATTACTAACACAGTAATTACTTATATATTGATTACTAATTACTGTTTTGTAATTATTTAGCATATTGATTAATTTTGTATTAATTTAATTATTAATAAAGTCACTAATGATAATATATCAATTATTACTTCTTTTATCTTTTCTTTTTTCTACCTCTTTTTCTTTCCCAACGATTTGTATAATTGTTATTTCAAATAAGTCACGCGCGCGAGTATTATTTAAAATTTTGATCTAACTCAAATCCCTGATAAATTTTGTGACTCCGTAGGCCGAGATCCCATCTTTTTCGCCCACCACGCCAATGTCGATCGGATGTGGAACATTTGGAAGACATTAGATGGCCCGAAGAGGAAAGACATCACGAAGCCGGACTTTCTAGACTTCTCGTTCGTGTTCTACGACGAGCACGCCCAGCTTGTTCGTGTCAAGATCAGAGATTGCCTCAACACCGAGGTGCTCGGCTATGTTTATGAAAAGGTCGAGCTTCCCTGGCTCAAAGAAAGGGGCATGCCCCATACCAGACTGGCCGTGCCGCGTAATCCTAATGTGAGGAAGGTGGAGCTCACCGATTTCCCCATAACTTTGAAGGGCTCGGCAGTTACTATAGTGGTGCCGAGGCCGGCGAAAAAGGCGAGGAGCAAAGAGGAGAAGGAGGAGGAAGAGGAAGTGTTGGTGGTTGAAGACATTAGTTTCGATGGAATATTGCGTGTGAAGTTTGACGTGTACGTGAACGACGAGTATGCACCTGGTCCTGCCAACGCCGAGTTCGCCGGATGCTTCGCAAACGTGCCTCATAAGCATAAACATGGTGGAGATCACCACCATATCCACAAGGTTTCGCTTAATCTTGGGATAACGGACTTGTTGGATGAGATCGGAGCCGACAATGATGACTCCGTATTCGTCACTTTCGTGCCGAATAATAGTTATCCGGTTACCATTGGTGGCATCAAGCTTGAGCTGCTTTCTTAAAGTTCGGGTTATAGTGGAAAATGTTTGCAAATTATTTTCAATTAATAAACAGCCAACTAATATGACTACGTACCGTTAATGTCGAAGTTGGCCTCATTATGCAAGGTTTGCGTGTTGCTTTGTACTCGTGTGATAATAAAAAGTGTGCTTATGTATGGAAAAATAAAAATGTGATCAATAGTGATTTCTGAATGCTCAATAAAAGTATGTTTCTGTTTAGCTATATATATTCTTGGTTGAAGAAAATTTAACAAAAAAGCCTTCTCCACTGCAGTGGTGTCGTTTCCTGGGATTGTTGTCGTTTCTAACGAGTTGAACTCATGACCCAGATATGTTTGTATGACTAGAGTGGATGAACCGTCATTATTTAACATTTTGCCATCTTTGACTGAATGATGAAGAAGCCCTAGTTAGATTAAGCCCTTTTAGACTCGTAGCTTAAGTCGGAAATATCCCTTATTCCTGTCCCTTTTTGTGTCCCTTAATAATAATATGAAATGTCATGAATTAGAAATTGTTGTTGGCAGAAACGACATGATGTATATATGTAGGGAGAATGGCCTGAGGGGGTTCGGATTTAAAAAAACACCTCTCTCCTCAAAACTTGTAATTTCGACCAAGAATAGTAAAAAACCCTCTTAGTGGATGTAGCACTACATTGGAGTGAACTATTATAATTCCTGGTGTTGTTATTTTTCTTTTGAGTCCACGAATCTTACCTCTAATCAACTCACAAATCACCAAGAAACTCGTTACAAATCTGTTAACTAATTTTAACCGTCAACAATATATATATATATATATATTTTTTGTTATTGTGAATTTGATATTGACATTGTGATACTGATTGATTGTGAATGTTGAATACTTGAATGTGCTGAAATTGTTTTTTTTTTTTTTTTAATACTGAAATACAAATTAAATGCTTATGTCGTACGTCTACAAAATCTGAAATATGGCCATTGTGTTTTACTGATTTTTGTGTTTGATTGAAATTTATTGTTATGAATCTAAGTATTAAAGGATTATGGCTGCGGGTGGGTGAACGTCTTGAAATTATTCCTGAGAATACGACTATACATGAACAAGCCCAACCTACACCCACCAAAAACGAAGCTGAACCTAAAGAAACGCAGACTGAAGAAAGGGGTGGGAAAGAGACTGAAGAAGGGGGCAGGAAACGGACTGAAGAAGCGGGTGGGAAACGAAAGAAGTCAATGGTGTGGGAGCACGTGAAAAAATTGCCTGGGACAGGACGGGCTAAGTGTAACTATTGTGAGAGACATTTACAACTGAAGTACCAACCACCATCTCGTATAACAGTTGCGAGAGACATTTACAAATTTTACGCGAAAGAGAAGAAAAAATTGAGTGGTCTTTTGGGCAAACGTAGAATGGCTATTACTACAGATACGTGGCGATCAATCCAGAATATCAATTATATGTGTTTCACAACACATTTTATTGATAATGATTGGACGTTGCACAAGCGAATCATATACTTCTTCACGGTCCCTAACCATAAGGGGGAAACCTGTTGGGATTTGTTTCCCAATTTGTGTATTGATTGTAATCGGATTTGATTGGCATTATTTTGGGAATGTTTTACTGGGATGATTGCGTTTGGAAATGTCTTTGCAGCTGGCATATTTCCTTTGGCATGTTTCAAAAAATCCAGAAACTTGTTTTAGTTTCTATTTTTCTAAGTCAACTATTGATTCAAAGATGAAAAATTGATTTGATTGATTCTTGATTGAGATTTCATAGCTGGATGATCTTCCTCTACCTCCTAAGAACGTGTCCAGGTTCATATATCAGTTTTGAGAAGATTTTAGAATTAAAAGAAGATTGATTCGCCTGGTTTTGACAAAGTTGGCCGTAACAGCTATGTTGCAGTGTTGTTGCAACAAGATCTGCAACAGATGTGGTTCAGTGAATTAATTGAAGATGTGTCAAGCTATTCACAGCTTGTTTATTTATTAAAAGAGTCTCTGGAGTAAAAAAAATGTCTCTTGATGAGTTTTTTGCTGGGTTGTGAGACAGGGGTGAGCACTTGTATTGAGTAAGATGATTTGAGTGGTTTTCGGGAGAAAAACTTTGTTGGAGGGATTCCAATGTTAAAAAGTCGAGGGGATCTCGATGTTCAAGTCTATTGGAAAATTGCAAGTTCATAGGCGTCTTCTTAGAGGGGGAGTCTCGGGTAGATTAAGTCCAATTGAATTATAAAAGAGTTCTTAGTGGTTTGTTCATCATCTGGGCGTGGCCCCGTGGAGTAGGGTGTTACCAAACCGCGATACCATTTCTCTCGTGTTCTTTTATTTTATGTCTCTACATTATTCATATTGTCTTATAAATTATTAAAAGACTAAAACCGGTACTAACAATTGGTATCAGAGCGGGTCATTGACGTGTTTTTCAGTGAGGTCCTAGTGTACTGGTTGATTTTACAGGAATGGATGTCTTGAGAGAGGGAAGATTTGTGAACAAAGCACCGCTTCTAGAAGGTATCCCCCCTATTGGAAGGCTCGCATGAAAGCTTTCATTAAAGCTATTAATGAGAAGGCATGGCGATCTATCTTAACCGGATGGACTCATCCAACATCTAAAGATGATGAAGGTAATACCGTCCTTAAGGCAGAAGAGAAATGGTCCAGCGATGAGGACAAGCTAGCAAACAGTAATTCAAAAGCATTGAACGCCATTTTCAATGCTGTGGATGTTAATCAATTTAAATTGATTTTCACGTGTGAAACCGCAAAAGAAGCTTGGGACATTCTTCAAACTGCGCATGAAGGTACGGATACTGTGAAGGCTTTAAAGCTTCAAATGCTCACAACTCGCTTTGAACATTTATGAATGGAGGAGGATGAGTGCATTGCCGATTTCAACTCAAAGCTTTGTGATATTGCCAACGAAGCCTTCGCCCTTGGAGAAAAATATTCTGACGCCAAATTGGTGAAAAAGACATTGAGATCACTTCCGACATGTTTTGCTTACAAAGTGACAGCCATCGAAGAAGCAAAAAACGTGAAGAAGATGAGACTTGATGAACTCATAGGTAATCTTCAAACCTTTGAGATGAACTTTAAGGCTAAAAAGAAAAGTAGAGGCATTGCTCTTAATGCAGATTATGATGAGATGTCCACCAAAGATGAGACTGACGAAGATGAGGACTTGAGTGAGTCTCTTACTTTACTCACCAAAAAATTCAATGAAATACTGAGAAAGATCAACAAGAAAGGGAGATTTGGAGAGAATTCAAAGAACAAAAATTCTCAAAAGAAGAATTTTAATTCTCAACGGTTTGAAGAGAAGAAAAGAAAAGAGGGAATACAATGCCGAGAATGTGAAGGATTTGGACATGTTCAAGCGGAGTGTGCAAACACTCTCAAGAAGAAAAATAAGGCTGCCACGGCATCATGGAGTGATGATTCAGATGAAAATCAAGAGGATGCAGATGATCACACTAGCAATTATGTGGCTTTCACTGTAAGAAATGAATTCTCAAATAAAAATTTATTTTTCACTGATAATGTTGTTACAAAGTCTATTGCAATAGCGTCTGCAACAACCTTTGGTGGAATTGTTGATGATATAGATTTCGAGGATGAAACTGAAGATGACAGTGACGATGATGACCTAAGCCTTGGGAAGATTCAGGAGGCTTATAAGAAGATGTACAACAAATGGCTTGTTGTATGCAAACAAAACAAATCGCTTGAAGATGAAGTTGGTGTCTTAACAAAGGAAAGAGATGAGTTGAAGAAGGTTGCAACAAATTATGAAATCTTGGCAACAAAGCATCAAGGAAAGCTTGCTGAGACCAGACTCGAATTGGAGCAGATCCAGAAGAATTTAGGGATGCTAAACTCTGGCACATCAAAATTGGATCACTTACTCTCACAACAAAAAACTTGTGGTGATCATTCAGGCCTTGGCTACAAGGGTCAAGAAATTTCTGGGAAGACTGTCTTTATGAAAGGAGCCGCCAGTACTATGATGCAGTCTTTTAAGAAATCTCAGGTAAGATTAGACAAGAAGTTTGTTGTAACACGGCAAGCAACAAACAGGTTCGTTCCTATCTGTCACTATTGTAATTTGCCTGGCCACATTAGACCTAGATGTTACAAATACTTGAATGCTTTAAAAAGAGGTATGATTATTAATCCATCAAATTTCGCATTCACAAGAAGGACACCTAAAGCAAAGATTGATGTGCAAAATAAATTTCCTAGACGTGTGTGGGTAAGGAAATCTGATTTAAGGTGTCTTGGGGCTTATACTTCTTTTAGAGCATGTACTAATAAATCTGAGTATTGTGGTAATGGTTACTTCAAGTTTTTGATAGGTGATAAAAGCAATATGCATCGGAGAATACCATATTCAGGGGGAGTATGACTCGTGCAGGATTCAGGGGGAGCAATTTGCAGGAAGGTGTTACTCATTTTCTATGATGTTTGGCTTATTTTTGTCAAAAAGGGGGAGTAAGTAGTCTAGAAACTTGATTGGTGCAAAAAGTATTGTGTTTTAGTTGCTATTATTAGTTTTGCCAAAACAATGCCAAAGGGAGAGATTGTTGGGATTTGTTTCTCAATTTGTGTATTGATTGTAATCGGATTTGATTGGCATTATTTTGGGAATGTTTTGCTGGGATGTTTGCGTTTGGAAATGTCTTTGCAGCTGGCCAGTTTCCTTTGGCATGTTTCAAAAAATCTAGAAACTTGTTTTAGTTTCTATTTTTCTAAGTCAACTATTGATTCAAAGATGGAAAATTGATTTGATTGATTCTTGATTGAGATTTCATAGCTGGATGATCGTCCTCTGCCTCCTAAGAACGTGTCCAGGTTCATATATCAGTTTTGAGAAGATTTCAAAATTAAAAGAAGATTGATTCGTCTGGTTTTGACAAAGTTGGCCGTAACAGCTATGTTGCAGTGTTGTTGCAACAAGATCTGCAACAGATGTGGTTCAGTGAATTAATTGAAGATGTGTCAAGCTATTCACAGCTTGCTTATTTATTGAAAGAGTCTCTGGAGTAAAAAAAACGTCTCTTGATGAGTTTTTTACTGGGTTGTGAGACAGGGGTGAGCACTTGTATTGAGTAAGATGATTTGAGTGTTTTTCAGGAGAAAAACTTTGTTGGAGGGATTCCAATATTAAAAAGTCGAGGGGATCTCGCTGTTCAAGTCTATTGGGAAATTGCAAGTTCATAGGCGTCTTTTTAGAGAGGGAGTCTCGAGTAGATTAAGTCCAATTGAATTGTAAAAGAGTTCTTAGTGGATTGTTCATCCTCTGGGCGTGGCCCCGCGGAGTAGGATGTTACCGAACCGCGATATCATTTCTCTCGTGTTCTTTTATTTTATGTCTCTACATTATTCATATTGTCTTATAAATTATTAAAAGACTAAAACCGGTACTAACAAAACCATTAGTAGGGAGCTTAAGACATGCTTCAAAGAGTGGGGAATCAACAAGGTCAGTACAATAACAGTTGACAATGCAAGTTCCAATTATTAAGCTTTGAATGCTTTGAAGAAAAAGCTGTCCACTATGGATCGAGGTATGTTACTGGACGGGAAGTTTCTACATTTGCGTTGTTGTGCCCATATTATCAACTTGATTGTGAGTGAAGGCCTTAAGGACATTGATGAGTTTGTTGCTAGCTTAAGGACATTCACTGGGGACAAGATGGAATGCCACTTATTTGATGCTTATTACGGCTATGAAATTTTGAAAGGGGTTTGATCGGATGATTGGTGATGGTAATTATGATAACTACTTCAAGGAGATTGATGTGACAACCGGGAGAGAAAGAGATGGACCGCCCACCGGTTATGATTGGGAAAAGGTGAAAGAATATGTTGAATTCCTCGAGGCATTTTATGATGTTAAATTGATATGTAGTGCGTCAAGTAATGCGACATCAAATTTGTTTTTTCGTGATATCTTTGAAATTGAGCAAATGTTAAATGCGATGATTGCGGAAGTAGCTGAAAAGCCAGGGTTATTACACATGGCTTTCAAAATGAAAGAGAAGTTCAACAAATACAGGGGAGATATCGATGATTTCGATGATGTCTTGGTTTTGGACACATTTTGAAGACAATCATTGATGCTTCATTTGAAGACAATCATGACACATTTTGAAGACAATCATTGATACTTCAAAGTTTTGGACACATTTTGAAGTTCTTTGCACCCTAGGATGGTCGAGGCATTGATGTGCACAAGGAATTGGTTGTTGGCTGATCGTGTGAAGACAATCATGACCGAGGAATGCAAAGAGGAGGTACAGAACTTAGAGGAATCCGAGGCAGTCGTTGCAGGTAATTTTGTTTGTTCTTGTCCTTGAATGTCAAAGTTATCATCATTCACGTTTTAACGTATTTTGTTCTTTTTCAGAGGTGGAGTCACTTTTTTCTAAGTTGGATGCTTCATTAGGATCAACAGCTATTGACATTGATTGATTATAATACGGCAGAAAATCTTGATGTTTTCTACTTTTATGTGTTTTGTACATTGCTTTTTTTTTTTTTTTCCCTTTTTTCGTTGACTATTTCTTGGGACTTTGTTATTTATTTGGACTTCATTAGTAATCCTGTTGTATGTTGTGTTTGTTTAGAGTTTGGACATTGAATTATGGATGACTGTAATAGGATTATAACTGTTTCTATTATCACCTTAAGAAAATTATTATGAATCTGATTCATCTTTTAGTTCCTATGTTACCAATTAAGAAGTGTATTAACATATGATATGTTACTAAATACTTGATTAGATGCTTTAATCTATGCGTAACTTATATTTACAAGAATTTACTTTAGTCTGCAGCAAAAGAGGGCTTGTCATTTTACTTGTTGACTTGACATCATTGGTTAAAATTTTATTGACGGTAATGGTTTGTCAACAATGTCTAAGGAATTGGGACTAAGAGCCTGTTTGGGAGAGCTTCTTAAAAGCAGCAATTGGCTTTTTAGGTCTAAAAGCTACTTCTGGAAGTGTTTGGATGATTTGTCATAAATGTTTTGACTTTTCAGAAGAGCTTTCAGTCAAAGTCAGAAAATGTGACTTCTAAAAAGTACTTCTGAATAGACTTTAAAACTTGCACCAAAGTTTAATTAAGGTATTATAAACTTAATTTCAATACTTTTATTGCTTATTAGAAAATTAAAAAAATATTTTGATCCATTAAACTCTTAGTTCTAAATACTTACTGAAAAGCCACAGCTTTTACTTTCCTTCTTCTACTGGCTAAAAGCAAAAGCAAAAGTCTGCCTAACGGGCCCTATTCCAAGCTTTCTTGCTGTGTGCAATGAAGTTCCATTGTTATTTCTGCGACTTATCATACTTCTGCATATTTTGATCTAGTATGCATGTCCAAACAAGTTAAGCCTCCCATTAGTAGATAAACCTCTTATCTAGAAAGAGTTGGTTTTCCAATTTGGTATGTAATTTGAGTTGGATTAATTGATTCGAAATGCATATAGAGTCAAGTATTCAGTCTTTTCGTCTTATCATTTCTAGCCACTCATCATGAGCAATTCATGTTCTTGATAAATTGATTCTAGGTATATGCATTTTCTGATAAAGAAAAGGATGTGCTCTGCAAGTCTAGGTTTCGGCCTCCGTCCGATTCTACATTTGGAAGACGGTGAGGTTGAGTGGCTTGGACTGAATGCTTACATCCAAATGCTGAAGAAAAAACAGTCGCGGCATAAAGAGCTGCTGTCTTTATTAACGTCTAAATTGTCGGCTCATAATTTATCTGGGACTAGATCAACTCATCTAAACTACGCAATTGATGCTTCATATTCATCTTTAATGTGGAAAATCAAGTATTAGAAGATTCTACGAGGTATGTGACTTGTTGCATCATAATCTGCATTCACCGATATGATATCTCCTTTCTTACACAAATATTTCACGCCTGATATACTCACAATCATGTTTTAGACAATACACAGATAGCCACGGTGAATTATTTGATGAAGTTTACATATTACTTTACACGGCTCCTGGTGTTGCTTTAGGCTTTGAAATGTTCAGTTTATCTGTTAGATCTCAATTCTTTCTTGTCTGTATACCGTGACGCTTTTTGTGGAACCATACTTGAATCTGTACAAGTTGTATATTGGTGCTATGCAGGTCAAACTTTGGATTTCTTTTTCTTCATAGTTCAAGGATGCTTTGGGAGACAATCTCAAGGGGGAAAATTTTCCAGGTATAAATTATTCTTTGAACTTCGAATTTCCCAACAAGGAATGTTGGAATTCTTTTTTTCTTTTTTTTTTTTTTTTTTTTTTCACTTTTTCCTTGGCTTTTCAA